ATTTAAAAAAAAGTTATCTCTCCCTTAGCCTGTTATTTTCTCTTTTCCACAACTCTCTTACCAATCACCAACTTCAGCCCATCTCATAGTGTCTCACGAACTCTCCGCCTTTTTTCTCTCTCTCTCTCTGTGGATTCTGTGGCAAGCATCCTCCTCACTCCAATGTCCTGCCAATCACTGTACTGTAACTAAGTTGCATTATCCTTGACCATTTGGGCTGATACCATTTCTGTTCTGCCTGTCTTTTTGAAATATTATGTACATGGATTTTTATTGCCTAGTCTTGGCTACCTCATAACTGTCTCTGTAATGAAAGCGGACCTAAATAATTTTATTTTTATTTGTGCTGTTAATTCATCTGACTTACTGTGAATGCTTTTCACATTCAGTTAGAGATTTTTTAAATAACCAGTATTTGCTTGGTCCTTAGTTTAACAGAGTCCATGTACAAATATCTTCCCCTTTCTATGTCCTTGTCTTTATCCAAAATCTCTACACAGTTCTCTGTCCTCCATTTCCTATTTTCTTTATCTCGCTTTACCTGAAACCTCTTCTGTTTTAAAGCCTATCCATGTTGACCTTCTGAAATTGATGGGCACCAGAATGAATAGTATCCATAGGCATGGGTAATAATATTATGGTTTAGCTTTGTTTTTCTTTAAAAGTATATTTTGTGTTGCATTATTAGTTGTGGCTTTGTAAAGAAAGTGAGTAAATTTGGCTTTTCTGTTGATGACTCTGGGAAACCCAGAGTAATCTTTTTGCTTGAAAAATGCTGATGGGCATTATATAAATTAGATTTTTTTCTGATTTTTTTTTTTTCTTATTAAATGGACTTTTGTTTTTGAAAAAAAGGGGCTTGCAAATTGATCTACTTTTGTAGGGGTATTAAATGGGGAAAGACAGTGGAATTGGTTGACTGTTTACGACTGTGATGAGAGATTACTTTGGTGAAAGCTTTTGTGAATCTTTGGAATTCTCTACCAGAGCGACCTGTAGATGTTCAGTTGTTGATATTCAAGTGCAAGATTTACAAATGTTGCTAAGGGCATCAAGATGTTAGGGGTAGAAGATCAGCTTTGACTTCATTAAACATAGAACAGGCTTAAGTGTATGAATTTCATACCACTTCTCTTGTTTTGTACTTTCTGAGAGGCAGAGAGGTTTAAGGAGGAAATTCCAGAGTTTAAAGTTATATCAGCTCATGGCATTCCACTTAAAGTTGGGTGAGGCAAAATTGGAGGATGGCAATATCTTAGTGGTTTAGAGGGTATTGCTGAGGTAGAGGAAAAACAAAGCCATGGACTGTTTTAAAAACATCAACTATATTTATACAGTGCCTTTAACATAATAAAGCATCTTAAGGTACTTCATAAACTATTTTTTAAAAAAGAGACATGTAATCACGGAAATGACAGCAGATGACCAAAAGCTGGATTAAACATGCATTTTGGAGGAGGAAAGAGAGAGCAATCCTAAATGTTTTGGGAAGGAATCCTGGATCTTACAGTCCAGGCAACTGAGAATAAAGGCACCAACAATGGAGCAACTAAAAGTGGGGTGCTCAGGAGGCCAGACTCGGATGAGTGCATGGAGGGCTGAGGGGCTGGGGCTGATCTGAGATGAGTGGGAGGGTGGGGGCTTGCAAGGCTATGCATGCTCTTGGACAAATGAAAATTTTAAAATCGTGCTGTATAAAGTGCCATAATATCAGAAGCCAGTATGGTCAACACACAGCAGGGTGAAGGATGTTCAGGATTTACTGAAGATAAGGACAGCAGCAGAGCTTTAGATGACATCAAGTTTTACAGAGGGTAGAATGCAATAGGCTGGCTAGGAGTATGCAAAATAGTCAAACCTAGAGATAACATTGGCATGGATGAGGTTTTGCCAACAAATGACTTGAGATCGGGCAGAGACAGGCAACTTACAAAGATGCAGGTAGGTGATCTCCATGACGGTGTGGATACATGGTTGGATGTTCGTTTTGGGGTCAAGTTTGGCACCAAGCTTACAAATAGTCTGGTTCAAATCAGGCAGTTGCCAGGGAGAGGAGTGGAGTCAGTAGGTAATGGAAATTATCACGGGATTCAAAAGGTTTGATATTCCTAATTATATAGCTGAAGGAAGTTTCTGCTCTTTCAAAGTACCAGCAATTGACTATTTGACAACTTAGTTGTGTGACATCAACATATGTGCAGAAATGTACGATTTTTTTGATGCCAAGTGGCAGCAAGAAGGCAAATAGGAGGGGGTCCAGAATAAATCTGGGGGAGCCAGAGGTGACGGTGCAGGAGTGGAAAGTGAAACAATTGTTGTGGTTCTCTGGCTATGAATGGATCATGTGAATGCAGTCCCACACAACTGAATGAGGTGGATAGAAGTTTGAGAAATATGAAGGGAAAATTCAGCCTTGAACAGTGGTGCTTGGTGCCTGAGGTTAGAGATGTGAGATGTGAGGAGATAATGGAGCTTTTAAGCCTTAAAAAGAGGTTTGAGAGGTGTTCTTGTATTAGTATATGATAAGTTAAATTAAAATGTAAATTTAAATTTAGTAATTTGTTAAACTTTAAATTCCTTTTAAAATAAGAGTAGAACAAAGGACATGGTTTCAAATTAGAAAATGTCCTATCTAGCACGGATGTCTGTTTGAAATGGGTCCTTGATGGACTAAAGAAGTGAAACCTGTGGAATAATGTATGAAACAATTGATCATCTAACAGGTGGATTTTAGCTGAATCACCTAAAATGATCCTAAGATGGGCAAATTTGCCAATCTTGATGTTAAATCATTCCTGATGCCTTCCTAACCCCTTTGGTTCGAATGACATCCTGGGGACTTGTTACAAATGTGCACTACTGACACTTTTGTGTACAAGTATTCGTTTTGTTTCCTGTCTTCACACATTAGCGCAGTGTATGTCATGTTCAAGATTCACTGTACGATGTGGAGGTGCAGGTGTAGGACTGGGGTGGACAACGTCAGAAATCACATGATACCAGGTTATAGCCTGACAGGTTTATTTGAAATCACAAGCTTTCAGAGCTCAGCCCTTTCGTCCGGTGCAGTGAGAGATTCACTGTAGAAATTCATCAATGTTCCTTAGACAGCACTTTCCAAACTCTCAACCACTCTGATATAGAAGTACAAGTGCAGCAGATATGAGAATGCTTACCTTCAAGTTCCCCTCCAAGCCCCTCACCATCCTGACTTTGAAATATGTCCCTGTTTCATTAGTGTTGCTGGCTCAAAATCCTGGAACTCCCTCCCTAATGGTATTATGGGTGCAGCTACACCAAATGGATTGCAGCAGTTCAGAAAGGCAGCTCACCACCACTTCAAGGGCAAATAGGATGCAGCTAGGGATGGATGATGAATGAGAGCCCAGCCAACGATACCCACGTCCCAGGAGTGAATAAAATAAATTATTTAGTGTTTGGTAAGATAGTATCTATACCAAGCTAAAGAAGCAAACTCTTTGAAAACAAAAATAAAAACCAAAGAAACTGCGGATGCTGTAAATCAGGAACAAAAACAAAGTTGCTGGAAAAGCTCAGCAGGTCTGGCAGCATCTGTGAAGGAGAAAACAGAGTTAACGTTTCGGGTCCGGTGACCCTTCCTCTGAAACGTTAACTGTTTTCTCCTTCACAGATGCTGC